CTCCCCCCCCTGCCGGCCTGCTATCCCTTTCCGTCTCCTGCCACCGCTGCTGGCCTACTATCCATTACTGTCTCCTGCCACCACTGCTGGCCTGCTATCCCTTACCGTCTCCTGCCACCGCTGCTGGCCTACTATCCATTACTGTCTCCTGCCACCACTGCTGGCCTGCTATCCCTTACCGTCTCCTGCCACTGCTGCTGGCCTGCTATCCATTACCGTCTCCTGCCGCCACTGCTGGCCTGCTATCCCCTACCGTCTCTGCCCCCGCTGCTGGCCTGCTATCCCCTACCGTCTCTGCCCCCGCTGCTGGCCTGCTATCCCCTACCGTCTCTGCCCCCGCTGCTGGCCTGCTATCCCCTACCGTCTCTGCCCCCGCTGCTGGCCTGCTATCCCCTACCGTCTCTGCCCCCGCTGCTGGCCTGCTATCCCCTACCGTCTCTGCCCCCGCTGCTGGCCTGCTATCCCCTACCGTCTCTGCCCCCGCTGCTGGCCTGCTATCCCCTACCGTCTCTGCCCCCGCTGCTGGCCTGCTATCCCCTACCGTCTCTGCCCCCGCTGCTGGCCTGCTATCCCCTACCGTCTCTGCCCCCGCTGCTGGCCTGCTATCCCCTACCGTCTCTGCCCCCGCTGCTGGCCTGCTATCCCCTACCGTCTCTGCCCCCGCTGCTGGCCTGCTATCCCCTACCGTCTCTGCCCCCGCTGCTGGCCTGCTATCCCCTACCGTCTCTGCCCCCGCTGCTGGCCTGCTATCCCCTACCGTCTCTGCCCCCGCTGCTGGCCTGCTATCCCCTACCGTCTCTGCCCCCGCTGCTGGCCTGCTATCCCCTACCGTCTCTGCCCCCGCTGCTGGCCTGCTATCCCCTACCGTCTCTGCCCCCGCTGCTGGCCTGCTATCCCCTACCGTCTCTGCCCCCGCTGCTGGCCTGCTATCCCCTACCGTCTCTGCCCCCGCTGCTGGCCTGCTATCCCCTACCGTCTCTGCCCCCGCTGCTGGCCTGCTATCCCCTACCGTCTCTGCCCCCGCTGCTGGCCTGCTATCCCCTACCGTCTCTGCCCCCGCTGCTGGCCTGCTATCCCCTACCGTCTCTGCCCCCGCTGCTGGCCTGCTATCCCCTACCGTCTCTGCCCCCGCTGCTGGCCTGCTATCCCCTACCGTCTCTGCCCCCGCTGCTGGCCTGCTATCCCCTACCGTCTCTGCCCCCGCTGCTGGCCTGCTATCCCCTACCGTCTCTGCCCCCGCTGCTGGCCTGCTATCCCCTACCGTCTCTGCCCCCGCTGCTGGCCTGCTATCCCCTACCGTCTCTGCCCCCGCTGCTGGCCTGCTATCCCCTACCGTCTCTGCCCCCGCTGCTGGCCTGCTATCCCCTACCGTCTCTGCCCCCGCTGCTGGCCTGCTATCCCCTACCGTCTCTGCCCCCGCTGCTGGCCTGCTATCCCCTACCGTCTCTGCCCCCGCTGCTGGCCTGCTATCCCCTACCGTCTCTGCCCCCGCTGCTGGCCTGCTATCCCCTACCGTCTCTGCCCCCGCTGCTGGCCTGCTATCCCCTACCGTCTCTGCCCCCGCTGCTGGCCTGCTATCCCCTACCGTCTCTGCCCCCGCTGCTGGCCTGCTATCCCCTACCGTCTCTGCCCCCGCTGCTGGCCTGCTATCCCCTACCGTCTCTGCCCCCGCTGCTGGCCTGCTATCCCCTACCGTCTCTGCCCCCGCTGCTGGCCTGCTATCCCCTACCGTCTCTGCCCCCGCTGCTGGCCTGCTATCCCCTACCGTCTCTGCCCCCGCTGCTGGCCTGCTATCCCCTACCGTCTCTGCCCCCGCTGCTGGCCTGCTATCCCCTACCGTCTCTGCCCCCGCTGCTGGCCTGCTATCCCCTACCGTCTCTGCCCCCGCTGCTGGCCTGCTATCCCCTACCGTCTCTGCCCCCGCTGCTGGCCTGCTATCCCCTACCGTCTCTGCCCCCGCTGCTGGCCTGCTATCCCCTACCGTCTCTGCCCCCGCTGCTGGCCTGCTATCCCCTACCGTCTCTGCCCCCGCTGCTGGCCTGCTATCCCCTACCGTCTCTGCCCCCGCTGCTGGCCTGCTATCCCCTACCGTCTCTGCCCCCGCTGCTGGCCTGCTATCCCCTACCGTCTCTGCCCCCGCTGCTGGCCTGCTATCCCCTACCGTCTCTGCCCCCGCTGCTGGCCTGCTATCCCCTACCGTCTCTGCCCCCGCTGCTGGCCTGCTATCCCCTACCGTCTCTGCCCCCGCTGCTGGCCTGCTATCCCCTACCGTCTCTGCCCCCGCTGCTGGCCTGCTATCCCCTACCGTCTCTGCCCCCGCTGCTGGCCTGCTATCCCCTACCGTCTCTGCCCCCGCTGCTGGCCTGCTATCCCCTACCGTCTCTGCCCCCGCTGCTGGCCTGCTATCCCCTACCGTCTCTGCCCCCGCTGCTGGCCTGCTATCCCCTACCGTCTCTGCCCCCGCTGCTGGCCTGCTATCCCCTACCGTCTCTGCCCCCGCTGCTGGCCTGCTATCCCCTACCGTCTCTGCCCCCGCTGCTGGCCTGCTATCCCCTACCGTCTCTGCCCCCGCTGCTGGCCTGCTATCCCCTACCGTCTCTGCCCCCGCTGCTGGCCTGCTATCCCCTACCGTCTCTGCCCCCGCTGCTGGCCTGCTATCCCCTACCGTCTCTGCCCCCGCTGCTGGCCTGCTATCCCCTACCGTCTCTGCCCCCGCTGCTGGCCTGCTATCCCCTACCGTCTCTGCCCCCGCTGCTGGCCTGCTATCCCCTACCGTCTCTGCCCCCGCTGCTGGCCTGCTATCCCCTACCGTCTCTGCCCCCGCTGCTGGCCTGCTATCCCCTACCGTCTCTGCCCCCGCTGCTGGCCTGCTATCCCCTACCGTCTCTGCCCCCGCTGCTGGCCTGCTATCCCCTACCGTCTCTGCCCCCGCTGCTGGCCTGCTATCCCCTACCGTCTCTGCCCCCGCTGCTGGCCTGCTATCCCCTACCGTCTCTGCCCCCGCTGCTGGCCTGCTATCCCCTACCGTCTCTGCCCCCGCTGCTGGCCTGCTATCCCCTACCGTCTCTGCCCCCGCTGCTGGCCTGCTATCCCCTACCGTCTCTGCCCCCGCTGCTGGCCTGCTATCCCCTACCGTCTCTGCCCCCGCTGCTGGCCTGCTATCCCCTACCGTCTCTGCCCCCGCTGCTGGCCTGCTATCCCCTACCGTCTCTGCCCCCGCTGCTGGCCTGCTATCCATTACCGTCTCCTGCCACCGCTGCTGGCCTGCTATCCATTACCGTCTCCTGCCACTGATTCAGTGCTGACTGTACAATATTTCTGCCTCGTGTCTCTGACATAATCGACTGTAATATTTATTTCTGCATAAAGAGTGCTTTGTCTCTCCCAAAATGCGGCCTACTAAAAAGGCTTACATGATGTGCAGCGTGTCTCTGCAACATTTCTGCCTCTTGTCTCTATAACAGTCATTTTTATTTGAGCTTTTTTTAAACCTGCCTCGTCTCTCCCTCTTACATTGCTACCCAATAAAGCTGCTTCCATCCCCTCCGGCCATCGTGCTGTATGTCTGGCTATTGTCTCTGAAATATGTCTCTGTCATCTGTATTTCTTCATAGCACCTCCTGGTTTCTGGGATGCGGGGGGTGGGGTTTTGTAGTATTTTTGTGCACTCAGCGTGGTTCAGCTCTAGAAGAAGATCACAAGCTGAGCGATGAAACACCTCGTTGCTGTTTGACAATTGTGATGGATTTGAGGGATTTGATTTAATTTTGATCCGTTGGATCTGTTCTGTCTACAACTTCAAACGCTCAGTTCTATTGCTGCCGGATAGAAAATGATGTCACAGCGAAAACGACCTAAAAAGACATTTTCCTCAGATAGAGGTGCTGCTGCTTTATATAAGCCGAGGAAATGATGTGATGTCAGGATACATTGTCACTGACGGTGTCCCCAAGAATCGTATTGTTCTAGAACCCCACATGTAACTTACATCTAAAACCCCCACAGCCCATCTGAGACCTCCACGGGACACCTGAGATGCTCACAGCCCTCCTGAGACCCCCACAACCATCCTGAGACTCCGCACAGCCCACCTGAGACCCCACACATCCCTCCTGAGACGCCACACAGCACACCTGAGACCCCCACAACCAACCCTGAGACTCCGCACAGCACACCTGAGACCCCACACATCCCTCCTGAGACCCCACACAGCACACCTGAGACCCCCACAACAAACCCTGAGGATATTGTAATTGGGGAGTCATTGGGTAATAGTGATCACAATGTGATTACTTTTAATATTGAACACAGAAAAGGGAAGTGTACTGGAAGGACTAGAACCCTAAACTTCAGAAGGGCCAACTTTGAGAAGCTGCGCAACCTAGTGGGGGAAATAAAATGGGAAAACTTATTTCAAAACCTAAACACAGACCAGATGTGGGATTGTTTTACAAACACGCTACATACTGCTACTTCAAAGTGTATACCTTTAGGAAGCAAAAATAAAAGATCAAAAACTAAACCAATATGGTTTAATAAAACTGTAAAACAACACGTCAAGGACAAGAACAGCACACCTGAGACCCCCCACAACCCACCTTGAGACTCCGCACAGCCCACCTGAGACCCCCCACAACCCACCCTGAGACTCCGCACAGCCCACCTGAGACCCCCACAACCATCCTGAGATTCCGCACGGCCCACATGAGACCCCACACAGCCCTCCTGAGACCCTGGAGACATCAGGCTGCCACCCTGGAGCAACACAGAGTATGTAGCTTCATATTATTCTGCATTGCTCTGTAATGTATTGCTGCTTGGCCTCCATGGTGGATCAGTGTCTTTAGACCCCCTTATGTACTCTCTTTTTTTGGTGCGGCAGCACCCCTCCTTATCCACCACGGAGGTGAGGCTTGAAATCACTTCATTCAAGTCTCTCCTCCGTGACAGATTAGAAAGGGGCAGCGCCAGGAAAAAAGAAGCGAGCCCGGAAGCAGCTAAATGAAAAGAGCAGCACTGGAGAATGAGGAGATTTGAAGCCTCACCTCTGGGATGGGTCAGGAGGGGTAAACCTAGGCAGGGGAACAATTGGTCCAGAGCCTTGAACTATGGTTTGGTTTGTGGGGGGTGCTAATGAAAGACTTGCCCCCGGGCGCCTCATGACCCTGCAACGCCTCTGCTCTCCATGCCCTTTGTTTGACAATCCCTTTCCTATTAGCCTTGAAAAGAGAAATAATTGATTTCCAAGGTTTGCTCCCTTTGGGGTCCACATTAAACTTGAAAACCTTTTGGGGTCTTTGCTGAACAAATTCACCCATCGTTACCCACCACCAGTGGTCTCAGAGTCTGATAGCTCAGTGGCTGGTTGCAGTTATGTGCCACTTGTCCTGCAGAAGTAGCACACAGTGTGCCAGATACCATTATTGGACATCAGATGGATCTGACCAATGGATGATGTCATAATCATGTCACATGGGGGGCAGCACAACATGGAGGAAGAACAAGTATTGCAGCCCTGTGTCAGGGACCCAGGGGGGCCGTTCCTTGTCAGGTTCGCAGGCGCGGGCATCGGGCACGGGTAGCTCCTCCTCATCTGACGCTGGTGTGGCCAGTGCGCGTGCGCAGGTCGCGCGCCAGGTGCGCGTGCGCGGTACACAAGCCGTGCGCGCATGCGCGGAAGTGCGAGCATAGTGCGCGCGCGCCATTCCATGCCACAGGTGCTACTCAGGCTGGGGGAGGACTTCAGCCTTCACCACTTGCCCTCAGCCTTGTGATTGGACTCTGACTGGGGAAGCTTCCTGGTTGCCCTGGCAACCAGGGGGCGGTCCTGGGTTCCCTGTGTATATAAAGCTGGTCAGAGCCTTGACTCATTGCTGAGTTATTCTACCTCATGGTGAACACGCAGCTCCCTCCTGTGAACCCGTTATTTGATCTGACTTCCCGGCTACCGACCCTTTTGCTTGACCCTTCGACTACGATTCCTGCTGCCCGCCCGACCCGGAACTGGACCTGACTTCCCGATTGGATTATCCTTTTTGTACTGCGATTTTTGGACTTTGTTCGTCCCTGCCAAGGGGTTCCACACCTGGCCCATTACTCCAGCCCTGACACCCTGGTACAGAACTGAGCATCTTGTGTATTTTCTAGGGGGAGGAGACACAGTGGAGGAGGAGGGGACACTGCAGAAGGAATATTAGTTAGTGGATGGGAGTACTCACGCTCTTTCTTTGCTATGTGTTCCTTCGCCTCAAGACTCCGACACACGGATCTCACGAGGGCGTCAGCGGCACCGTCGCTGTCCTGGAAGTTGCTCCGGATGTATGAGTGCCACTCCGCTGGGTACGACGCCACTTCCTCCAGCTCAAATTTCCGCGGTGCTTCATAGACCAGTGTGAAGACCTCGAAGCCGGCCCTCTTCAGCTTGTGGATTTTGGGTTTCATGAATATATGCGGATTTACGCTCCTCAGAAGCAGGATGAGGATATGTGACGTGCGCTCGGTGGTGACCGGTGGCTGCCATGACACGGAGTTCACATAGGTGATGATGTATTCCTTAGCCAGCGAGTAATGATCTGCCCCACGGGCCTGGTTCTCACCGATGTACTTCCCCAACTTCTGGGGGTCATACGAGTAAAGATCAATCGTGACTTCATAGGAGGAGCTATTGAAGGCTTCCACTAATCTCCGGAGTATCTGGAAGTCTTCTAGATGGTTCAAGTATGTGAAAATATCAGCAAATATGGTGATGTGAGCGGAGGAGGGTACGCCACTGGAACAGCCTAGAACACCAGCAGTAGCAGAAATCACCACAGGAAGAGTAACCGGAGCCACTGGTAATGTCCATCAAGAACCACCTGAAGGTTACCATACACTCACCGGCCACTTTATTAGTTCAATTGCCTGGTAACACAAATTGCTAATCAGCCAATCACATGGCACCAACTCCATGCATTTAGGCCTTTAGACGCGGAGAAGACGACTTGCTGAGCCTCAGAATGGGGAAGAAAGGGGGTTAAAGTGACTTGGAACGTGGCATGGTTGTTGGTGCCAGACAGGCAGGTCTGAGTATTTCTGGGATTTTCACACACAGCCATCTCCGGGGGTTTACAGAGAATGGTCCGAAAAAGAGAAAATCTCCAGTCAGCGGCAGTTGTGTAGAGGAAAATGCCTTGTTGAGGTCAGAGGTCAGAGGAGAATGGGCAGAGGTCAGAGGAGAATAGGCAGAGGAGAATGAGCAGAGGTCAGAGAAGAATGGTCAGAGGTCAGAGGAGAATGGTCAGAGGAGAATGAGCAGAGGAGAATGATCAGAGGTCAGAGGAGAATGGGCAGAGTAGAATGGTCAGAGTCAGAGGAGAATGGTCAGAGGAGAATGGTCAGAGGTGAATGGGCAGAGGTCAGAGGAGAATGGGCAGAGGTCAGAGGAGAATGGGCAGAGTAGAATGGTCAGAGTCAGAGGAGAATGGTCAGAGGAGAATGGTCAGAGGAGAATGGTCAGAGGTGAATGGGCAGAGGTCAGAGGAGAATGGGCAGAGGTCAGAGGAGAATGGGCAGAG